TTTTCTTTGAAACTCATGCAGAGCTAATCTAAAAAGGAGGCGTGATATAAAGCTCCACTGTGTTATAAGACTGGAGTTTATCTACTGACTTCAGCATCCGCAGAGCGTAAAGCACGTGAGTTCTTTTCTTGTCTAAACTATTTTGAACGAGGTCTCTTTAACATGCTAGTTTGGCAAGCTTCTAAGGCATTTGTGCAAAGTGATGATGCAAGAGCAACCTGATTCAACACTGAGAAATTCATAAATAACATCCAGCAGTAATTAAAGTGAGAAACTACTAAGAAAAGCAATCACTCTACAGTATCGGTTGAGCTACTATACTCTGCAGTGTTAAAAGTGGAATATGTTTACTGGTGCATTTAACTCAGGAGGTATCGTTGTGAATTTTAAATATACCAAGGATTCGTTCTGTTTTTTACATAGATTGAATTGGATTAACAGTGATTAAAAAAACCATGAATATAGAAACATATAGAAAGGATAGGAGTGGAAGAAAAACACAATGCCAGCAATTACCATCTCAAAACATACTATACATCTAGTCAGTATTTTTGTATTAAAATGAAGGGTTACTTTTGAAGTCCAAAATGGTTTTAAGGTAACTTAGCACTCTATAAGGCCATTCTCAGGAGTCAAGTTCATGATATTCAAGATGGGGATATTTATAAAGGACTTAAGTTTGAAAAACTGGAATAGCTAGCTGATGTCTTTACTACCTTAATGAGAAAAGCTGCGCTGTTTTCAGTAAGTACGCACTAAAGTCACAAAAAAAAAATCTCCTTAGATTAGGGTTAAATGGCAGTTAACATTCACACAGTTCAGTTTTTATGTATGCAAAACTCAACAAAGAATTTAGGTAGCTAGTGGTATAGCAAATAATGGGCAGGTCTTAAAAGTAGCATTCTGAAACGTTTTGTACTTGTTTCTCAATCTCTTCTCTGAACTACCTGCAGAGCCTGGGTTTACTGGAAGGAACACTGGGCCCTGTATTCTGTAAAGCTTTGTATAGCATAGCCCCAAATTCAGTTTAAAGATGTGCTTTTTTTTTTTTTTTTTTTTTTTTTTTAGAAAAAGATGAGAAAAAAAATCGGACAAACAATTGAATCTGTTCCTGTCAGGGTACATCTATGGCCATCGTGCTGTGACACGTAATCTAGCTTTTCTGGTCGTCAAAGAGAAGGTGAGAGTAGTTGTGGATACTAGTTCATACTTCAGGCAGAAAAACATGGTAGCTGCCCCAAAGCAACTTGAGACTAAACATGCGAGATTTGTGAAGTAGCCACTGCATGATTTTTGGACTTTACCCCGTGCTTAAAGGAATTTCTGTGGTTTTGCTCTTGATAGCAGCCAGGTGTTGGGGGAATTCAGATTTTTATTTATTTTTACACCTTGGCAGGACAGAATAATTCACTAGTGTTGTGGATTAGTTGATAATGAAGACAGGAATAATTTGTGAAATTTAATTTTAGAACTGGGCTTGGATAAAAATGCTTAAGTTTAGATGTGCTTGTGGTTTGGACCAACATCTCACACTCAGTTTTTGTCTTTTTGTGACTCTAGTTTTAGGTACTAACCTGTAAACATCACAATATGTAGTCTTTTTACTTAGAAAGTTCGCTATATGCCTCAGTACCAGATACCAGATCTTTAGCAGGACTTATGTGAGGAACAGTTAAACAAAAACTTGTATGAATAAGGCACTAGTAAATGTTTGCAGCAAACAACAATTACAGTCTATATTCTTTAAGAATAAAACCGTTCTGTTTAGGAAATTGCCTTTAATATGACAGAGTTACCAATGCCAGTTAGAAGGGGGTTAGAGAAAGTGCATCTTTTGGATTATGCCTCTGAGGTCTGTGAGAACCCACTGAATGCAAATCCCTGTGTAATGGTGATATTTGAGACAGCTAAAGCAAGAGGAAACTGGTCTAGATTCTGATCCCTGCTTAAAACAATGTGAAATCACTGTAACGGATTTACTCCAGATTTATTTACGTTGGTAGAAGGATCTGAAGCCAGAATCGAGACTGCTGTGGCAAATCTAGTTAAACAGTAACAGTGCTAACCCAAAACAATTAATTGGTTAAAATCCCCTTAGCTTCAGAAAAGAATCTGATAGTTTTAATTTCCTACTTGCTGAAGTCCAAGGATGCACTTTGTCTTTTGGCTAATGTAACAGACCAAAGCCTTCTGTACTACTTTGGAGCTGCTGCCATTCTAAACAGTTATTAAAATATTAATGCATACTTTATACCAAATGAAACTTGAGTCTGCCAGTCCATTTGTAAGATGGCTGACTGCTTATTTCACATTAAAAGTTGTTCGAAAAAACCCCAAACTCTTCCATTCATAAAACCAGAACATACTGCCATTTTTAAAATGTACTTTTACATATCAGGTTTTTTGGGGTTCATTGAAGCACCAGAATTTGTTCATCAAGCCAAAAAGAATGTACTTGTAAACTAACTGATCTGGTTAATATTCGTGATTGTATTTCCCTAAGATCTGTTCAGTAAAACTACTACATCTGAATCATTCATTTGGTATACTAAATAGAAGGTCAGTGGTAACTCCAGAGTCTGATTTCATCACTAAATCCTGCTTTGTAAACAGACAGCTTCGCTTTATCAGCTGACAAATTTCTGTTGCACTCAGATCTTCCATTGCTTGTACAAGATATCATGTAAAAAAACATAACACATTTCTAGTATCCATAATGCAAGAGGGGAAAAAAATTACATTGATTCATTCCTGTATATTATTGCCACCAGGTGCTACAATTAACAACTCTGGACAGTGGGGATTTTTTGTTTGGTTAGGTTTTTTGTATCTTTTGTAAGGACTTGGTATTAAGTTTATCTCAAGCTTTAAGATTGCCCATCCATGGGGACCTCAGAAGCTTTACAAATTTCTCAACCACCTTTTAAAAATGTGGTGGGTTTTTTCTTTGTTTCTTTGGGGTTTTTTTTTAGCTTTAACTGCTAAGACTAAATTCATTGGTGGTATAAGTTGACTAAAATTTTCACCAGAAATCAATCTGGACTAATACTTATTTCTTAAACAAAACAAAAAAACCCCAACAAGTAAACTAAGTGCTGTGGATCTTTCTCCCACACTTGCTATACATATTCTAAAGTTATATACAGAAGGAAGAAAATACAGAAATTTCTCTTCACAAAGATCTTTCCTGCATAGCAACTCAGGAAACTTTTTTTCTTTTTAGGTATTTGTTTCTTACATGAATGTCAGAATATATGCTTTTCTATGTGTGTGGGAGGAGGCTAATAAATGGCATGTGTTTATCTGAATATTAGAAAATGTTAGTGAGCATTAGAGCTGTACAGAATCTTTTCTCTAAAAGTTGACAACTTTCAGGGAGATGATGTAAATCTTGGCAATTGCAAAAGAAACAAATATTCTTTCTCAAAAGTGTGCCTTTTGCAGTCATAACTAGTTTTGTGGTGTGTCTCTGTCTGTAGCTGGCAATTTGAAGTTGTGCATATTTTACCTTATGAGAATTTCCTAAGCTGTGCTTCCTTTAAAATAAATTTGAACTTTTTTTTAACCTTGTAAATGGAACCTGTGTTTTGAAAGTCAAGGTGGGATTTTAACTTGTTCTTAAGATTCACATAGCACATTGGGACATGGTTTATTTTCCTTCTTTTTTTGCCCACTGCTTTTGAAGTGTGCCTTCAGTAACGTACAGCCAGGTGAGAAAAGTCTGCATTTTGGAAAAAGTTCTGTATATTTGTCATATTTAACAAAATACAGAATGCAGTTTTGCTTTCATGGCCGCATTTCTTCCAACAGAAGCAGAGGGATAGTAATGAAACATTTTTGTTAGAAAACTAAGCTATTACAGCTCTGACTGGAGAAAAATCTGTTGTCAAACATTTATACATTTTTTTTTTTTTAACAGTTGCTTCTTGGTGCAACTGAGTTGTGTTTGTAGAGGCACACTATTAACACCAACTGAAACTGTGGCCTAAATGAAGGCATCGCATTTCTGTTTGTGCTGATGTATTCACCTATATGGATGACATTTTAACAAAACCCGCCATTTCACAATTACTATTTTTTTAAGTAAAAGGAAAAAACCTTCCAGGTGTAAAATCAAACATCATGACTATATGATCATTTAACAACAATTACTGCATGATTTGCATAACCCTTGACCTTCCTAAAAATCAATATTTGATCTTTCTATATGCATTGGTTTGAAAATGAGTCATCACGCAATTGCTGACTCACACTTGATAAATACTTAACTTGGGGAAGAAATTTTTTTGAGATTAAAAAAAAAAAAGTCCTGGGTCTTTGCTGTTAATACAGAGATTTTCATTGTTAGATGAAACATAATATAATTGGAAATAACTATTACGGTGAAAGGAATCCACATTACTTGGATTAAAAATCCATTTATCTGAGAGGCTTTAGGGATTATGATGAGTTTGATGAGGCCAACCTCAATCCCTCAAAACCTTCTCATACTTTTAGGAGATGGATGAATTACCAGTCATGTAACTCTAATGTATTTTAAGGCTAGTTAGAAGACATGGAAGTGTGATAAACTAAATGCTCAAAACTAAAATTTGCATGACTGGGTATTTATTTAAAGGGAATGATTGTATGGGTGAAATTTTGCTTACTCCTTTATGTTTTCTAATACAGTAAATCTATCATCTACTTGTATGTCAATAATAACTGATCTTAGAATGCCATTTCATAGCTTGAATCTTGGTTTTGCCTCAAAGTTCATTCTAACCAGGATGGCAATTAGGGAAAGTTCTAAAAGTGAAACAGAAGAACTGACACATGCTGTTAAATTCAAACGTGGAACATTAAAATTAACATGGAAGCAGAAATGACATTCAGTGTCAGAAGTAACAAATTTGAAAGTCTTAAATAGATCAATATAGAGAATATAGTTTAGACAGTTTTTTTATATAAGTGTGCTTTTTCCTAAAAACACCCCCCCAACCAAACTTCTTTTTTTGCTTTTTAAGTCTTTTGTCTGTAAATATGAAAGAGGGTTACACCCCATTGTAATTCTTCATTGCCATATTAAACAGTAAAATAGTCTTTCTAATTCACATTGCTCATGGCAGTCTTATTTGATGTTGCTTTATTAAGTTTGTGATTAAAGCAGTTTGGGATTTTTGTTGGTTGTAAACTTTTGGCATAATGTGAATACCAGTCCCTTTCAAAAACAGCCTTGAGTTGCTTAATGATGCTTGTGCTGTTCCCCGCGTCTGCTTGGTTGATAACAAGGCCAGCTCCAGCATTCTGCGTAAATGCATTTCCTACCCAATCAAAATTACCTACAAGTAAAGGCAGGAATATACAATGAGTTTCTAACATTAAAAAAAACAAACAACAAAACAAGCGATCTCCCTAAAGGCAATCCAGCATGATACAGTGTCATTTCCCCTTACCTGGGCAGAGACAGAAATAAGTCTTCTATACTAGTGGGAAAGAAAAAACTCCATTATGTACCAGTGTGTGGTGCAGATCGGTTCTGGAAGTTCAACAGCTCTAATCCTTCTTAACTGAAAATAGGTTCTTTTATTTATTCAAAACTAACTCACTCTTCCTTTTGCATATATTGTATTATTACTCCATTTACTTTCCTCATTGGCCTTTTCAGTGCTAAAAATGAAAATATTTTTTTGCCATATAAACAGTTTAAAGTAGATGGAATGGATAGTGGTTGCTCCATAATACTGAGCCAAACCAATAGATCTTTTACAGGTTATCCACTGATAGATACTATTTCAGGAAAGAAAAACAGGTTTTACTGTTTTATGACAGTTACTACCACCTTTGTTGAAGTCTAAGGTAATGAACAAGCATTTCAGATCCTGGTGTTAACAAGGCAAAGAGCGTAATTGGATTAATGCAAAACAGGTAAACCAAGTTATTTCTTTTTATTTCACTAAAACTATAACTATTTAAGTTCTACATTTATAACACATGCAGTATTTTGGAGAAAAAAATGCTGTCGTTAGAGGTCATCTTTTAAAACAATATCTGAACATACATAAAACATGAAGGTATCTGAGAAATTTATACCCATTCTTTCAGCATCATTTCAGCTATTTCATCAGGAGATGTTAAGAACTCTAAAGTTCTCAAGGATGGTGAATTGAAGCCTCCTCATGTCTTCCTATGCTTAAAAGTAAAAGACATAGCGGGTCCTTAATATGCATTTGTATTACTTTCACACAGCTTTGATTCTTTCTTTCTTTAACTTATATAAATCTAAGGATCTGAGGACTATGGGAAAGAAAAAAACCCAAACAACTCAGCTAAGAAACTTGTAGACAAGTTATAAAGTACTGAAATTTGATCTGGCTATTGGAAGGAATTTAAACTGGAGTAAAAAAATTATTTGGGGAGCTCATAAAACATTTGAGAGATGAGAGAAGAATAGGCTGCACTATTTGAAGTGAAAAATAAGATTTGGATAGGTGAAGAGAGGTGTGTATGTTTAGAGCCCATCAAGGTGAGCTTTTCAGAGAAGCTCTTGGTTGTCTCGGTGCTGCTTGGGATTCTCCATTCTCCCTGTGTGCATGGGCATGCTTCTGGGCAGCAGCGTCTGCCCTCCCTCGCTGCCTCTGCCATCGCTGGCTTTGGAGTAAGTCAGGGTGAGGAAGAAAGAATCTAAAGCATCAAGCTGCAGCATATTAGAATGCATATTTTCTCTCTTGACTTTATAAAATCTCATGAGTTACTTTTTAATTCAGTAGCAGTTTTCTGATCCTGCAGCTTATGCACACCTCAAGCAGTCAGATTTTTTTTTTAAAGGTAGTTTTTAGCTTGTATTTAAGGACCATTGACTGATAATGGACTTTTGCTAGGTGCCATAGTGACTTAAATACATCTTTGACCTAAATTATCAATTAGATATGTACCTAATGTTAATAAAAGGAGGGTATCTGAAATGTCATGTTCATAAAGTGTTTTGTATTTGTTTTCAGTCTGTTCTTAAATATTGAAAGCAGAATGTTGCTTTTGAGAAACTGATTCACAGAGGGGAAAAAAGAGGTTTTAAATGAGAAGAGCCTCAAAGCTCATCTTCATCCAGGTTCCCGAAGAAATGAGATATTACTTTAATGTTACAAGCATATTGGCTGCAGATTCCTTAGGTACGAATGGGTGTTATTTCAGGCTTTTGCCTACAAACTAGAATTTCTTGAGATGTGGTTACTTACCAATGTATGCAGCTCCATCAGTCACCATATACTTGTTACGATTTAATTTGGGAAGGGAAGCGTTCTTCTGTTCTTTAAGAAAGCATGCACTTTCTTCCTCAAGGTCGAAGAATTTCTGCCATAAAATAAAAGAGTGGAAGTTAATGAGAATCGTTCTATAATGGACAGGAAAAATATGGTCTGTTCTCTACTCTTTATTGAAAATGAGTTAGTGCTACAGAACAGCTTGAGTTTTTATAGCAAAGCATTAATTTTAATAAAACACCACACATTGTATTTCTTTCTAAATTATCATAGTTTCTGATACTTGGCATTCTGAACCACACGAATTATGTGGCTACCACACGCTAAAAGCAATACAGTGCCAGGTAATAAAGGCTAGGAAAGGAACAAAAACCCCATCTTTGTGTTCTTCATGGTAAGAGCCAGGAGCTTGTCTTTTCCTCACTCATCAAGGGACATTGGGGTTTGAAGTCTGCTTCAGGATTCCCATTGGCAGGCACACCAAGCAAGCTGAATTAATACCTTTATATTACATATTGCATAGTTTCCAACAGGAAACTTGCTGATTTCAGAAACTTCTCGGGATTAAATCTGATATGGAGAGATCAAAGTTACCAGACAAGAGAAAAATGCATCTGTTTAACCCTTAAGGGTGAAGTCTGAGTTAGATTTTTTTATTTTTTTTTTTAGCTATATGCACTCCTTGTCTGCATCAGTGCCAGACAAAAATGAGAGTTCCAGTACAAATCTAAGTATTGTTTGTTTCATCAAGGAAACTAATAGCTAGAAACAGGTTAAAAAATGAGAAGTAGAGAATAGCACGATGAAGGAAAAATTAAATATTTACTGCATGACTGGGAAACATTGATTGAGGTGGTGGTGTAGCTCCTCAGAACAAAGCTAATTCACAATATAGTCCTGATGTAAGTAACTGGCTATACATTGCATCCACTTAAGACATTGAAAAATAGTATTAAAAAAAAAAAAACACCCCAAAACTCCTTAATCATTCTTTGTCTCTTTTCCATGATATAAAATTAATCTCTTGAACCAGTGCTTTTTTTCATACAAACCTTGAACGAATCATTTTAGGTTATGGAGATGTCGTTTAGAATAATCTTACTACTTTGAAAACCCAACTGTAAAATACTAAATTCATTAGTGAAATATTGTGATCTCTGTGGTAGACTACATCATTAGTTTGATTAAATCAAATAAGGGTGTGTGCATAATGCACAGGCAGTTAGTTTTATAAAGCATTCTTTACCCAGGGGATGATGTAGGTAGGTTTTAAGCTGGTTTGCAGTGAACTGCTTGACTATTGCAAAATGTGTTGTTACTCATTACAAGAAACAACAGCTTCAGGTTTTATACCACTGGTTGCTTCAGAACTGCATATAAATACTCATTAAAAAAATCTGTTTTCATAATCATCAGTCTTGATCATTACAATTGTTTTCCTTGGAGAACTCTCCTCTTAAGTTCTGAACAGGCTTCTCTGCAATTCGTATTTCCAAACCTAATTAAAATGGATTAGTTGCAGACAAAAGGTAGAGTAGCCCAGAGGCTGTGGTTTATCTAACATTTTATGCCCTGGACTCTGTCAGAATCTCTCTCTTCCTCATTGGAAGATATATTGGGGTAAATTTTATGTTGTCAGAGGTTCTACCAAAATTGCTTGGAAGAGCTCTGTGTTAACTACCAAGGCTAGTTCAGGCTCCTGCTGATTCTAGCAGTGAGGAGGAGTCTCTGGTCTTGGACTGATCCCACTCCTCCTCAATGATGAAAGTTTTTTAGGGCTGAAGCAAGTTCTTAGTGCATTAGAAATAAAATTCAAAGCATGTGTGTTTTTTCAGTGCCCAAATACTGAATGGTACTGTGGTACAGTTTTATGATTGGTAACTATCACAAAGGTGTTTCCTTAAACAATCTCTGGATTTCATATGTCATCGCGTGCTTACTTACCTCTGCATGGCATTATCTTCCACAGCTTAAATTTTGTGATGAGTTCAAATACCAGCAAAATTCCAAAGATAGTTTTCTGAATTTAGAAACAAGCACTACCCCCCCAACTGTTTGAGTGATTGCTTTATAAAGGGCATTAAAAAGATGATTCTATGTAAAAAGATTATTCTTTAGTAGTAGATACTACTAAAACTGTAGTATCTGTCCTTTAAATGAGATTTCTATTGTATATTCACATCTAAGCTGCATGGAGAAATCATACCTTTAATTACAGATTTTTAACATCACCAACAATTACAGCATTACGCTTTTAAAACAATTAGAACAAACCATCTTAACAGCTTTAAGGGAAAGTTTAGTAGATAGTAGGGCTTAGTTCTTAGACAACATCATGCCTGAGGAAGTGCTCTACAAGCACGCACCCACCACGGAAAGTAAGTACTTAGCAAGCCCTCACAAACAGAATACACAAAGGTAGCTCAGGTCAGCCAGTGAACCCACACTGACACTAAGTAGCCCAGCCCAACATTCTTCAACATGTGCCTTCAGCAGAAGCACTGTTTTAATAATACACCCCTACCTGCTGACATTTCACTGATCTTTTCCATCCTTATTTTAGGAGTTGAGAGCTTTGAAATTAAAGTAATGCTTACAGGCAAAGGTTTCATAGTTAATTCATAACACTTTATTTATTCCTAGGGCATTTCTGGCTTTTTGAGAATTGGTGAAAGGTCAGTTTTCCCCTTCCTTTTACCTTAGCGGGAATGCACCTGCACAACTCAGAAACAGATTCATGTGGAGGCTCAAGAACAACTTGTGCAGTAGATGCATATGTCTGTCTGTTCCATGCCACACCTTCCTGGTCTCCAGTTGTCTAAAGACACTTTGTTCTAGTTCATACTTCTGGTGGGCCCTTCAAAAATGTGCACCTTTTGCTGTTCAGCGCTGCACCAATAGAGTTGGCCCCTTTATACTGCTCCTTCACGAGTTAGTTAGACTGAGCATTCTTGCACATAAGACGTATTTATAGGGTCAAGCACATAGACTTAAGGAGTACTCAAGGCCCCAAGAGGCACAACGGTGAGCTCTTCACCTTGAGGTTACCTTTTAAGATTCAAGCTTTAATTTATTGACCACATGTGGTTCAATGCATAGGACAGAGCTCCCTGAATGAGCAGCAGTTTGGTACGTAGTTTGCTGCTTGACATTTGGCTGTGTGCTTATAGCATTTAGTCCTCAAAGATTTTTCCTCATGAGGTGTTCCCAGTGATCATTTTTTCAGAATACTTCTATTAAGTGAGCATTCTCAAAGCAGTTTCAGTTGAATCTAATAGTTATTAGTGCTTATGTGAACTGGACTCCCAGTGAGATGCTGAGGAATGCATAATTAGGCACTACTCATTTTCTGACTGCATTGATAATGTTAATTGCCTGGTATTGTCAAAGTTTTGTGGCAAAAGAGAAGAAGAAAGCCTGCTGCGAGATAGAACATACTGTTACAATTCAGCGTTTGCAACCAGGAACCCATGTCTTGCAGTCCCTGCCTTCCTGACCTCAACAGCAGACTGAAAAATGACATGCACAGAAGTTGGCAGCTGTTTTTAGTCAGGACACTGCTAGGCATAACAAGTTTGCAGTGCCCTGTTTCTAACTATATGCTTGCAGTTAGGCAATACCAAAACTTCCATTAGCCTGGTCAAAGAACAGAGGAAGTCAGGGGGAGATTCCCATCTAGCAGAGGCGTTACATCTGCACAGCCTTCTCCAAGAGGACCGTGTACCTCAGGCTGCTGCCACTGGGAAAACAGTGTATGTACCCTGCAGCTGTGGCAAGCTATGGGCACTCCCTGGGAACTTCCTAGCCAAACTGGTCTTTCCTTGGGCATAACAGAAAAGAAAACAGTCATGACAAGGCACATCACAGGGATCAAAAGCTAAATGAAAGGAAAAAGTTACTGAATACACTGTGTACGACTCAGATATATTATCTTCGAGAACAGAAGTTGGAGAGGGTGCCATTTCTGTCAGAACAATACTGAGATATTGCAACAGCTTAGCAGTTACAATTTCAATCAGAATTTGTAACTTAAAGTTCTCTTAAAATGTCAGTGTTCCTGTGTATAAACACATACATTACTCATCTGCATGACAGTATTTTCTGTACAGTTTAGTTTGACTTCACGTTTTCTTATACCCAAAGCAGAACCAAAAGGGAAAAGCAGATTTTTCCAATCATTTAAAAGGTTTAAGTTTAGTTTTTACCTTGTTAGCTATTCCTTCTCCCCTATACACACACATAGTTTTGTTTCAGTTTGATCTTGGCTAGAACAGATGAATGCAAAGGAAATGCAATTTAAAAAAAATCCAGTGCTCATCTCACATGTTTCGTGAAGTAAACGAGTGCTTCGTGGTGGAGCTTGTGGCACAGTTTCAGCCAAAATCAAATAGATTCCAGTAAACTCTGAGCCTTGGGCTGCTACTCCTACCAAGGCTTCTTTAAGGCAATGACTTACCCAGCGTGTGGAATGTGTGCTGTGCAGCACAGAGGTAACTGAGGTATGTTGTACCTTTACAACTATCTAAATCTGGGACAGTCTGATGTTTTTACTGGAAGTTGTATTTGTATTTTTTAACTGTAGATATTCTAACTAGACTAGCTACCTAGAATAGATGGCTAGAAATGTGGTTTGTTTTTTTTTCTTTCAGCATTTAGTTCTTGCCAAGACAAATTCTGTACTAAAGATTTTACCTGCTGTAAATAGGTGGAAAGGGATATAAGTATGTAAAGCATGAGGTGCCACTTAAATAAAAAACAATTTTGTATACATAAATAGAATTTTGATGATAAATATGGAACAAGCTAGAGGTTACTTGAAGTGGCTTAAGCAGTGTCAGCCATGGATGGGCTTTTTGACTTAAAAACACACTTTATGCTGCTTCTTACCTAGGAAACTTCTAGTAACAACGTACGTTATAACAAAAATCCCTCCCTATTTCTAGATATGCATAAATACCACTTAGTGTGTATAACACAAATAGTACTTGTTTTTTTACACTTCTTGTTGATTTTAAAAAGCCAGAATGATTTAGTGGCTTATCAATTTAAGAAGTCAAAATAATTCAGCAGATTATTTAAGACAGTAAACTGAAAAAAAAAAAAAAAAATCCAAGATGGCTCATTTCCAGTGAGCCTCAATTTCATAAAAATGAGTGGTACCAAACTGAAAGCAGTACTTACCATACGCTCTGTTCTCTAATACAAATGTAACGTACATGGTATTCCTCACTTTCCTGTACTGCTTGTCTAATGTGGTCACATAATGGTTGTTCTAGTCTTCACAATTCTGAATTTATAGCTTGAACTGAATGTAAAATCTTCACTATTTTTTCTTGTACTTTGTACTTGACTAAAGGAAAAGGAGATGCTAATGCACCTGAACAGTGACGTTAGACGAATCCAGACTAAACCACATTTTTGTACTGTCACATTTACTCTTATCAGCCAGTATTAAAACAAGATATACGACTAGGGTTCACTCCGTTAGCTTTGCTGTGAAAGACCAGATGTAGTGTTTTACATGGGCTGTCCACCACACAGACTGCCTTTTGTTATCATGCTATTTTTCTGTCTTAATTTCTATGCCTGTTACTACTAGGAATAAATTCCGTTCATTATATTACATTCCTATGTGATTTAATGGAGTTTAAAGTCTTTGATACTAACTGAAAACACTTCTCAGTTGTGAAGTTGTCTTGATTTTTTTTTTTTTGAGGGGGTGGGAAATACCTTAGATTTCAAAGCAACATGGATTATACTTACAACTTTCAAACTACAGCTTGGAACTTCAGTGCAAATAGCTTTCAGAGATGAAACAAAGTTAAAAGTAAGGGGATCTGTGTCTCTTGAGAAACTTATGAGAAGTCGTACTTTAATACTTCGCAAAACTAACGCTTCTCGTATCTTCCCATCTAAATATGGCCAGTACCTGTGGAGAAAGAATACACTATATTCAGAGAACTTAAAAAAAATCTGGATTTTTATGCAGCCAAGTCTGGACATCATAGAGAAAACTAAACACATGTGAACATCATTTTCTATCCATCAAAGGAATGCCATTCTCATTTAAAGGGGTTTTCACTAAACAGATCTGCCAGCCTCCTTTTTTGTGTCATTCAGCCCTGCACCAAAACTGTCACTGTGGGGACAGTGAGGTTGTGGATGGTTGAGCACACCTTCCACCTGTGTAGGTGCAGAGAGCTGCCAAAACACTTGCACAAAATACGGTACCTTGTCTGCCCATAGCTGGGAGAGTTTTGTGTCACTGCCTGTGGTGACAGCAGTGGAGCTCTTGTAGTGCCAGAGAACCAGCAGAAGGAGCTACAGCTAGAGGGTGCTGCTTACCCAGCCCAGACTGAGGGACAAAGAGGGTTTTCTGTTGGTTACACAAGTAAGGGAACAGGAACACTGGATCCCTCCCTTTTTAAACTCTGAACTGGGTGGGACCATGCAGTCAAGGGACTAGAGTGCCTTTTCTAATTTCTTGTTTGGGAGAAGGAGAGCTGCTGCCATGCAGGGCTTCTGCATCCTTCAGTAGCAGAAGATGATGGGTTGTTTAAGGAGGATGCTACCTCTTTTCCTGATGAGGATTGAAGAAATTCTGCCGTGAATGGGATGGTGGCTTCTGTGGTGCTATTCTCACAATTGCGAGTTAGCTTTGTGTTCCTGACTTTTGGTGGGAGCAGGCCAGGACAGGGAGAATGTGACAAAAATGTATGGTTTTTTTATTCCAGCAGCGTGAAGGTATTTGGCCTAACGAAGTCTGAGCTCTACAATGCCAGAAAATAACTTACAAGCAAGAACTGGGAGCTGACAAGGTGGGGAAGCTGTGGCAATGCCTCAAACACAAAGCCATGCTGTAGGAAAAATGTTGAATTCACACAGATGGCTTCCTGGATCTCCCTAATCCAATAGATTTCTGAATTCTTCAGGCATGAGAACAAAGTGAGGCAGAGTATGGGATATAACATCAGCTGCAACACTGTAACAGTGCTACATACTAAGTTCCTTTCCAACATAAAGGAGAAAGGTGAGGAATGTATGTTGTGAAACTGAGGTTCTTAAAGCACTACCCATGATTCTTTCACTGCAACAGTGGCTAGACATAATGAGTTTATTGGAACAACCTTCTTGTAGATATGAAACAGCTTATGCTTGATATATGTCAAATGATAGTTATTTTTTTAAAAAATTTAAACAAAATATGTTTAATTATGGAAAACTGGCCACACGTTTAGTTTGGCTTAACTGTGTTCAGATAAAGTGCATGGATGGAATGGCGAGCCTTCTGAATTGGATGGTTTTATTACACTGTGGCTCCAGTTTGGGGTCATGAGTACTTTTTAATAGTCCATACAAACAGTGTGTTTAAAAATTGCTTGGTTTTGTTTGTTTTTAGCAACTCTCAGTTAACCGAAAAGTGATTTAATTCAAATGTAATCTGTGCTGAATTTGGAATTTTCATGTATATTTCAATAAAAATAACATCTTCCATGTTGTATACAGGAACTCACACCATGTTATTTTTCTCTAACACACACACACACACACTCTCTCTCTCTCTCATGTTAAATATCTCTATAATACTCATAAAATGCCAGTAGCTGTGGTATCAAGATAGGGAGTATGATAGTGTAAGAAATAGGATTTGTGCATAAGCAGGTTCTTGTATTCCTGGGTCCCAGTCACTCGCAGATGGTCAGAATAGACAATTTCTGATCTCCTTCCATAGGCAGATCCAAAGCTTAGGACCCAGAACTGGAAATGTCTTCTTAGGTCCCAATTCTGCTCCCATTTAAGTCAATGGCAGAATCTCACTGATTTCAATAAGAGCAGAATTGGGCCCCAAGAAATTGGTCCACAGTAGTAACTACTTTCCTGTGGGTTCATTTTCTCCAGCAGACCTTATTGACATTATAATAATGTGCTAGTCCTGGACATGGACACTCACCGTTTAGCATTGGTGTCGATGACGATCGGCAAGTAGTCCATGACAGCTATGTATACAAATTGTTTTGCATCATCGATAACACTGTATATAGCTTCAATATCCAGGACTCTGTCCTTTGGGCAGAAGAGTTTAGGTGAATTCTGTGAAGAGAAAAGTTCAAATATGTCATTTAAAATACGTGATTTATTTTCTCTTCCCCTCATTCTTCTTGAGATGGCAAGTAGTACCCTTTATTTTAGTACAGAATATTAACTGATACCTTCAGCTGTCCTGCTAGAATATTCAGAGATGCCAAGGGGAGTTACTTGCTTAATTTCCCCTTGAAAGCCTCACCATTTAGAAGTAACTGTGGGCAAAATGCAGAAGACACAAATTTCAAAATATTCACTGTCATCAAAGAAGCTCTAGTTGAAGTTAAATTTCAGAGAATTTTATGCCAAGGAGTCCCAGGACTGGTTACTATTGCATGGAGTAATGTCTGTGTTCTTGCCATCTGAGCCTGATTCATCACTCACAACCAGGCATTAAGTCTATTACGTCAGTTCTGTTGAAAGTTCCACACAAAGTCACCATTTGCTCTGTCACTGTTGCAGGGAGATGCTGCAGGTTTGCAAGAAACTTCTCTTTAAAACCTAGCTTCAGGTATAACTGAGTTCTTTACCTGCTATTGAGCCAGTAAGTGGCAAGCCCAGATTTCAGTTGTTCTGCCTTGTATCTGGGGTTGTCCAATGTGCCAGCAAGGCAGAGCCAGC